CACTGTGGGTGCTAAGTCTCAGCATCCTTCCTACCCTGTGACCCAGCCTCTTCCTCATTCGCCCTCACGAAGGGAAGGCTTGTGGCTGGAGCCTGCGCTCAGCTGACTGGCATCCCCTCCTGCCCCCCATACTTGTCCCCACACACTCAGGACAGGAAACCCCAAGAGAGAGATTGAGCAGCTGTAGGGGAGCACCTCACGGAGAGACTGACCTCAGTTTGCTGCACTTAGCCCTCCCCTTCCTTTCCCTGCTCCCCACTTTCCCTCTCCTCCTCCAGCCTTTGTTCTGTGGAACAACTGCCCCCTGACTCCCACTGGGGAAATTGGAGTCTGTCCTGGAAAAACCCCAGGTGCTGGGCTGGGGGCCTGGTCCAGGAGAAGGAGGGAGGTGGGAGACAAAATTGAAGGGCAGTGACTGACTTCCAATTCCCCCCACCCGACACCCTCACCTCCATACCTGTAGGCCCTGGGGTAGCTACAGGGAGGGTCAGGGAGGGGGGAGTAAGTGGGAGTAGGGGTAGGGAACAGGACTTCCTCTTGGCAGGACACAGGACACCAGACCGGAGGTTCCCAGCCCCAGTCAGAGCCACAGGGGGAAAAGGTCACTGGGGCCTGAAGCTCCTCAGTTCCAAGATCTGCCAGTAGTGCCCCGATGGCCAGTCTGCATCACCTTGAGCAATGACTGTGAGGGGTACAGCAGATGACACAGTCCCTGACCCATCCCCAGGCCCCACCATGGCCAGTCTGGCGAGGAGCTGCCCCACACCCAGCCCATGGAGCCCATGGTGCATGGGAGAGATATTGCCCTGGAGGGGAGGCCTCAGTATGACCCTGGCCCTCCCAGAACAGGAAGCCAGGGACAGGCCAGTTGTAGTGAAGGCCACGGGGGCCCCCTGCACCTGCACAGCCCTCCTGGCTCCCTGGCCCTGAGCCTCACAGTTGGCTAGCAGATGATATGCTCGCTGGGAGATAAGTGTCCCAGGAGGTACCCAAAGGCCCCTGATGGAGAAGGACTTCCTGTGGTCACCACACCAGGCCTGCCAGGATTCATGAGACCCCTCCCTGTTTGAGAGGCCAGGAGGCCAGGAGGATCCCACTCCTCATCCCTCACCAGTCCTTTGGATGTCCGTGGACACTCTGCCAGTCTGTCCTAATTGCCTCAGCAAGAAATGATGCTCTCCTCTAAAAGCAACCATAAAAATGAACTACCTCCACACAGAGCTTGAGTCTGGATTTGCCTCTGTTTCCCTAAGAGTCAAAATTACCAAAGAAGATGTCAAGCACAGAGTAACCACGTGACCCAGGATTTCTACTCCTAGGAGTCATACAGGAGAAATGCTTACCCCAAAGAGGAGCATGCTGCAGAAGGAACACACCTCTGCAGAGAAGCCTTGGCCAAAAGTGAGCCTCCATCTTCACCTCCTTCCTCTACCACCTCCCCTCCTTGTGTTTCTCATGGTTCCACTCACAATCTTTACATTTTTAAAAAAAGCTTTATTGAAGTATAATTTACGTGTAATGATACTGCCCAATTTTAGCTGTACCATTTGGTGAGGTGCTTTGACAAATGTGTAGTCTGGAACCATCTCCACGATCATGGTATAGCACATTCCCATTACCACAAAAAGCCTCCTCAGGCCCTGCCAACCACTGACCTGCTTTCTGTCACTAGTTTCATTGTTTCCAGGATCTCACAAACACGAAACCAGGCAGTGTGTGGTCTTTGGTGTGCGGCTTCTCCACCTGGCACAGTGCTTCTGAGGCTCACTCTGTGTGTATTGGGAGTCCACTCCTTTTCTTCCTGTTCCCGTTGCCAGTTGATGGATACTGGGGTTTTCCAGTTTGGGAACATTATTAATAATGCTGCTATGAGCATTTGGGGACAGGTCTTTGTGTGGACATGTCTCGTTTCTTTTCGGTAAATACCTAGGAGTGAGCCATGCCTTGTTTTCTAAATCTTTTTATTTGTTTGTTTTTGGTCTGCCCCACGGCTGTATATCCCTTAAGGGTAGTAGGAACCTCACCTGTGTCTCTCCCTGCCATGACCAGAGCCCAACACAGTTTAAGAATATTCTCAACAGCTATTTGTCCACTGAGGTAATGAACGAATGAATGAATACGGAGCTGGAGGCAATCGAGGTGATGATGACGGGGACCACGGCAGACAGTGATGGTGGATGCTGGCACTGATGGGGGTGAAGGTGGTAGTTTGTAGTGGCAAAGGCCTCATGCCAGAGGGAGCTGCCTCTTTAATTCTTCTTTGGAGATGTCAGGTACCAATATCCTAAACTCACCTGGGGAGATGTCACGGGGCTCCTGCACCTCCAGTTACCCACTCTCAGGGCCACACCTTGGAGCTTGCTGTCACCGACACCCACACGCACACTCTGAAATGACTGTTTCCACTTTTTCCCTCTGTGGCCTCAACCCCCACCCCCCAATTATCACATACTTGCCTCTTTGCACCAGGCCCTTCCCTCCAGGGACAACCCTCCTTCCTTCCAAACCACTGGCCTTCCCCTCTCTACAGCTTCCTTCTTATCCAGTTTAGATATTGTGGTCCACTGTTACAGTAACTCTCTCACAAACACCTGAAGTATTTGAATTTCTGTCATTTCATAGCATTTATCTGAGAACCCCAAGTACCTACTCTCTCTTTGCCAACAGCTGAGCCACTGCTCATTGTTGGGAAAATTAACCTGGGAAGACTGGTGCCGATAGAAACCCACACCTCCATGCTCTGCTCCTCAGGCCGTCCACACTGCCTGCCTCCACACCTGGGGAGCTACAGACATCCCTCTGTACTGGCTTTCCCTAACACTGGGCATATTGTCTCTTGATCATCTTGTGTATTAAGCTTTTCCCTGCCTTCTGTGTCCTTCCCACAAGCACTGACCACTCAATCCCCTAATGCCCTCCACACAAAAGCAGTGCCTCTGTGAATGCAAACAGCAGCCTGGAAATTTCTGGCTGAGAATCTTTCAGTGCTTCTTAGGAGAAGTGGCCTCCTTTCAATCTCCTCACCCCAGTCTGCAAAGCCCTACCTATCTTCCCCACCTCCATCCCTAGCCTCATTCCGGGCCCCTGTCCCCAGGGTTCCAGCCACACTAGCCTTGTTCTCATTCCTCCAAAATACCAAGTTCCCCAGCCCTAGGGCTCTCCCAGGGTCAGCCCCCACTCCACGGCCTGATTCACAGGCTATTTCTGACCCCTCTTTCTGGTCTCAGCTCTTGATCCCTTCCCCTCCCCCAGGTTGGCAGCTGCTGCATATTTGCTCCCTGCAAAATCCTCCTTTGGGTTCAACCCTTACTTGTGCCCAGCAAGCTCCCTGAGGGCAAGTATTAAACCTGCCAACGCTTGGCTGCCAGCACAGCAGACCCTCAACAAACCTCTGCTGAATAAATGACTCTTAGTGAGGATGGTGGAGGGAAGGTGGGGAGTCACCTGGGGTCATCACCAGGCGCAGAGAATGACCAAAGCAGAAAGTACGACCTTCGTCCTGCCCTCCTGGCATCCAGGGCAGGAGGTCATGAGCTGCTGGAAGGGGAAGCCCACCCTGGAATCTGAGGCCAAGCCTAAGGGACCCGGGAGACACCAGCCACCCTCCTGGACCCTGCCCCCATGCAGGTCCACATGCACTGCCTGGGACTTTCCAGGGAGCCTAGCCGCTGACCAGGAGTGGCCAGGGCACCAGGCATTTCCTGCGTGGCCTCCCTCCCGTGGCCCCAGCTCCTAGCCCAGCCTCTTCCTCCCAGGCCCCAGGGGCTTTCCGCACAGCTTGAGGCCTGCTATTTTTAGCTGAGGGAGAGGGACCAATTCCTGGCCCCGTTGCCACCCCCACAAGAGCCTGGGCCAATCTGGGACTGGGGTTGTGCCCCAGGGGGTTGGGAGAGACTGCAGCCTGGCAGCCCCTCCCTTCACCCAGTCCCTACATCAGACACACCTGGGTAGCTGAGGTGGAGGTGGCCAGGCAGGAGGGGACGGCTCTAGGCTTGGGCTTCCAGCCCAGTGGGCAGGATGCTCGCCTTGGGGAGGGTGGGCCCAGGGCCTGGGTGGGCTGCTGCCCACTTCCTGCAGCCACACCCCAGAACTTCAAAGGCCGCTGGTGGCCCTGTGGTTACTCCCACGCAGCCGGAGAGACTGGGCAGGCACACGCACCTCTGGCAGCGGGCCCTGTTCCGGGCAGCTTCAAAGTGATGGGGGTGGGCCGCCCTGCAGTTAGCACTGATTCCCAGGGCTGGGGTGGGGTACAGAAGGGGGCGATAATGGGGATCTTGGCAGAGCCCCTTCTCTGCTCCTTCATCCTCCCCACCCCACTGCCATCCTGAGTGGGGTCAAGGCAAAGGCCCAGACACTTTCCTGACCCCCAGATCCTGTTCTGGAGTAGGGGTCGCCTGGGGGTGTGCCTGCATGTCTGTATAATGCATGTGGGTCTGGGTGGCCTCACCCTGGAGTTGAGTCCTGGCTAGAAAAGCCACAGGAACCAAGGTGGGGGACACCCCTCCAGGGCCCCTCAGGACAGCCTCCCTTCCATCCTCCTCTGCTCCCTCCCTCCCTGCTGATGGCCTGCGGGGGAGGGGGGACATAGGAAAGAAGGGCCTGCCTGTCTGGGCCTGCCATGGGGCGGCCCCTGCCCCCACGCCCGGCTGCGGTGGGCTTGACCTCGCGCCAGCTCCCCGGGGACCCGGCAGGCTGGGGGAAGTCCGGGGAGCGGGGGCCTCGGAGTAACCGCCCAGAGTCCAGCACACGCTGAGAACAGAGAGTGCAGGGGAAGGAGGTGGGGGGAGGAAGCTTTCAGGGTCCCCTGGGGTCAGCTCCGGGACAGTTGCCGTTTTTAATCTGCACGGGTGACTTAGAAGGAGCCGCGAGGGCTGTAACCTAGATCCGCTCAGAAGCGCGCTCGGGAGGTTCGGGGCCAGCGTGGCCCAGGACCGCCCCTCCCCCAGCCGTGCGCCCGGAAGGCACTGGGGACCATGCGCGCAGTCCTCGTCCGCACTTACGGGCCGAGACCCGTCCGAGGTCCGTCGGCAACCTCGCAGGGTCCCGCCCTGCTCCGGCCTGGCTCTTCTCTCGCTTCACTCTCGGGGAGCCGAGGTCTCCTGGGACCGCCGCGTGGCCGCAGAGCCCGGGGCTTCCTTGATCTGGGGTCATGAAGGAGCCCCAGCCCTGAGCTCATAGCCCTGTCGCCTGGCCTTTGCGGAAGCCACCTATCAGCCCACCAACACTGGCAGGTGGAAGCCGTGCGCCCCAGGGGGGCAGGCCTTGCGGGGGGCCGCCGTCTCCCCGCTCTGGACACAGGAAGGGTTCGGCTCGGCTCGAGCCTGGGCGAAGTAACTGTCCAGGACCAGCCAGGGCCGCGCGGGAACACCCCCTCCCCGCCCCTCCATGACACGCCCCGACCCAGCGGAGAGGAGCCCCGAGCCGCAGGCATGGTGGAGGGCGGATGAGAGGGCGCTGGGGCAGTTACCCCGGGTCACCCCGCCATTCTCCAAGGGCCGCCGCGTGGACTACCCTTTCGGCGACACGTTACGCGCCGCCCCACCACCCTACAGAATTTTTCCGTGGTTCCACTACCTGGAGGAACCAAGAAAGGGGGCAACCTCTGTGCCCCCCCCCCGACCTCCGGGATCCTGGTGCCCCTCGTGGAGTCAGACTCTCCAATCAGGAGATGATGCCAGGACCCCCCACCCCCATAGCTGGTCCTCCGGGTCCCACGCTAGCGACACAAAACGCGGCGGATCCAGGAAGTGCCGAAACCCTGCTGTTAGGCCAAGGGCCGATTTACCCCCACCCCTTCCACCCCCCTCCCCCGGGCCCTGGTTAATCTCCCCTCCTCTCCCACAGCCAGGGTAGACTGTCCGAGAGCCAGGCCGCAGTTTCTATCTGGTCACCGCGCGGGCGGGTGGCGCCCGGGTCCCACAGGTGAGGGGTCCCCAAGGGGCAACGAGCGCGAAAAGCCGGGCCGGAGCGCCCGACTGGGCGGAACGGGTTCTGCGTGAGCCCAGCCGATCGGCAGTCGGGATCCGTCAGTGATCCTTCAACTTACGCACGCGCCGCCCCGCGCGCTGCAGGGCCTGCAGGGGGGGCTCCCGCACGGCCCGCACCGCCTCTGGGAAAACAGTGCGGCCACATCCCTTGGCGTTAAGAACACGCCCTTTGACTCAGCAACACACTTTTAGAAATCTAGTGTATAGGAAAAGCACCTCAAGGCAAGGGTCCTCGGACTAGGGTGCCCACTGCAGCCACAGGTGCATTGGAGAAAGGTCTAGAAACCCGAGCAGGGGCACCCTGGCGGGAGTGTGCACTGCAGCCACCGAGCAGTGAGTATGCTCGGTACCGTGTCTGTAAAAGTAAATGACAGCCCCTCCAAGAGACTGTGTATGTGTGTTTGTAGGGAAACAGAGAAGGGTGTGAGAGGCCACAGTCCAGGTTAATAACTCGGATACCTACAAGGGGTCAAAGAGGGGCTTTCAAGCCAGCTGACCTCCGAACATACAATGACCCTTCAAAATGTTTGTATGGGGCCTCAGAGACCATCCCAGGGCAGGACGGTGCCCTGAATAACCCCAGGGGGACTGGAGCCTGCAGAAATGGTGCAGACTGTGCCCTTTCTTGGGAGGGGGTGGTACGCCAACATCAGACAGGACTGCAGGTCTCTTGACCCCAATCCAGGCTTTACCTTTATGTGGGCAGCAGTGTGGCTGTCCACCCCTCTCACCACCTGTCAGTACATGAAGGCCGTGTCAAGGATTCGAGAGTGAACCTGGCCCCTTCCCATAGGAGAGGGGAGCAGCTCTGGGGCAAGAGTCTCATGCTAGTGAGGGGGGCACCAGAGGCTTAAGCAGCAGGGCTGGGCAAGGGCAGGGAGGATAGTGACCTCTTTCCACCCCCTCCTCTCCACATACACACAGCACAGTCACCCAAAGGGTGTGTCCTGTGTGGTCATAGGATTTCAGTGTGATTGAAGGCTCACAAGGGACAATTTATGGCTTCTTCACCTTTGGGCTGGGTGTTGGGGGGCACTCTAGTGAGGGGGGCTGCTCAGCAGTGTCCTTCATCCCGGGTAGGAGAGACACAGAGACAGAGGACAGGCCCAGCAGGAAGCCAGGAAGGAGAGGGCTGTGCCTGCCACTCCCCCACCAGCCCCACCGTCCTCAGGGGTGCTGGGTAATTAGTTCTCTGTGACTCCAGATGTTCAGCAGCTGTCTTGGCCATTTCCGCCCCTTCTCCTGACCCCGCATCCGCCAGGAAGTGTCCCCTCCTGTCCTTGGGCTTCAAGCCACCCCCACCTTCCCTGCACCCCATTTCCTGAGCAGAGGCGTTTGTGCAGACTCAGCTCCCCCTCCCACCAGGGTGGCTTCAGCTTTCCCAAGGCCTGGGCACTGCTCCCTGAGTCCAGAGCTGTTCGGTCAGCTCAGGCCAGACTAGACACTCTCTGCCAGGGGCTCTGATCCTGGCTCCTGCCCTCCAGCCTCTGGGACTGGTTTTCTCTCTCTCCTCTGTTTCCTTCTCCAAGTTTGGCTCTGCTGACTCCTGCAGCATAAATCAAGGGCCTCCTGGGAAGCCAAACAGAACTGGGCAGGGAGGGAGCACTATCTGTGGGGGAGGGGTGCATGCTCCGTTGTCTGCCTGGAGGGCAGTGGGTGGCTGAGGGGGGCTGCCTCCACAAACTGATAAGCAGGGACACTTCCCTAAGTAGATGGGGGTGGGAGGCACAAGAAGTAGCTGCTGCTGCAGCTGGTCATCTGGGGGGCTCTTTTGGAGAGGGGACAGCTCCCTTCCTGTCACATGCTTTCCTGTCTCAGCAGAGCTGGTGGTTCTGGGGCACTCGGGCTCCCATGGACTGGTGGGGTCAGGGGCCAGACCAGACACAGGCTAAGGCGTGGAGCCCGAGGGCCAGTGGCTCCAGCCCGTTGACCTTTGCCCCTCAGAATCCGGTCTCTGGCTCTCCCCATACTCCTCCCCCAAGCTTCCTGTTCTTTCAAGAAGGGTGGGGGTGGGAGTTAAGGGTAGGTGGGCCTGGCTGAAGAAAACCCTCCATTTCCAAACAAGTCTCAGAGCAGATCAGGCTGGGAGACTGCTCCCAAGAATGTTTCTCCAAGCAGGATTTTTTCCTGGGGATTCAAAACAAAATCTGACATGTCCTATACATTGTGCAGACAATTCTCCAGGACACCTGTCACCTCTGCTGTGATGGCTGGGTCTTCAGGATCCACAGGGTCCAAACTGGGGTGGGAGCCCTCAAGGCAATCTTCCCCACACACTGCCTGGACCTGGGCTTAGGAAGCAGGGACTCAGACCCACAATCAGGTCCTCTACTCTGTTGTTGGGGGTCACTCCTATATGAGTGGCACCTGTGAGTCCACCCCACCCCCCATCAGCCAGGGTAGACAGCATCCGAATTTATGAAAGAGGTTCCTGGGGAGTAAATGCCCCCCATCCTCCTCCAAGGTTTCCATCTCTACCCCTAACATAATAGCCTCCTGTCCCCACAGGGCCAGGAGTGCACATTTCAGGACAAGGACCACCTATTTCTCTGGGAAACTCTGCCCATCCCTTGGTCCCAGGTAAAGGACCCCCTGGGCTCCCTCCTGAGGCAGGACCGCCACTGCCCTGCTGCTGCCCAGAACCCAGTGGAGAGGAGTGGGGTGGACCCTGACACACCCTCTTGGTCCTCAGCACCCCAACATGTGATAAAAGCTGGATAACAGGAAAATCTGGCTGGTAGCTGGGTGTCTGTGCATGTGTCTGGGGGTAGGATTGACAGATTTAGCAAAACAGCAAGATAAAAACAGGATATCCAGTTAAATTTGAATTTCAGATAACTTTTAAAAGTTCTCAAAAAGTGCATAGAAAGATTTGTATTATCTTTTTTTTTTTTTTTTAAAGATGACCAGTAAGGGGATCTTAACACTTGACTTGGTGTTGTCAGCACCACGCTCACCCAGTGAGCTAACCGGCCATCCCTATATGGGATCCGATCCCGTGGCCTTGGTGTTATCAGCACCACACTCTCCCAAGTGAGCCACGGGCCGGCCCTTGTATTATCTTTTAATTCTATTTTTCCATGAATTTTTTTGAAGTACCCACGTATAAGTATGCCCCATGCAATATTTGGGACATACTTGTACCCCAGAAGTATTTGTTGTTTATCTGAAATTCAAATTTAACTGGGTATTCTGTCTTTTATATGGAAACCTAGGGTGGGGGGAATAGTCAGCCCCCATCCCCATCTCTCATCTGTCAATCGATCCCTGTCCTTCTGGCGCTAGTCCCCTAAAGACAGCAGAAGTGCTCAATTGATTCCCAAAGCTGGTAGGGGCAGTTTAGGCCACACAATGCCCCCAACCCAGACACAGAGCAGAAGAGCAGAGGGGGGTTGCAGGGGCCTGGAACCCCCCCTTCTCCAAAAGACTGCAGTCTCTCAGGCAGGCTTGGCTTGGATTGCCAAATTTCCTGGTTTTAGCATTTTTGTGTTTCAGGTCTGGCCAACTGTTGAGTGGGACCCTGGAGCTCCGCCCTTCCCTGGGGCTCCCCCTGCTGGCCCCTAACCCTGCCCCTTTGCCCTCAGGTGGGCTGGCCCTCTCCAGTGCACGAGAAAAAGGGGAACCCACCAGAGCACTCCAGAAAAGAGGAAGGTACAACTTGTGGGGTGGTTTTTTTTTGGGGGGGGGGGCTGAACCAGGGGTTGATAAAGAGGAACCCCAGCCAGGCAAGATCCACCTGAAGAAGGTCATTGTTACTGCTGGTGCCAGAGAAAAGAGGATCCAGAAATGGCGGGGGATTTCCAGCCTGCGCTCACCCCCTTTCCTGAGAAGGAAAGAGTGGAGGGGCGGGGCTGGCAGGCCGTGAGCAAACACCGCCTCCTTGTCCCAGGAGCAGCCTGGTTCTGGCCCTCGAGGGCGGGGGAGGGTACCCTCAGCAAGCTGGGCACAAGGCTGTGGGAAGCGCTGCGTTCTTCCTAGAGAGACTTGGCATCCTGCAAGAAGAGGTCAAGGCTATGTACTTCTGGCTTGTCTGGTTGTCCATCTTCATTGCAAGTTGGAGGAAGGCGGGTGAAGGGGCTCCTGGAGGGGGTGGCGGCTCTGGGGTCCTAAGGTGTTGAGGGGTGGGCTGGGTGGGGCAGAACCGAGGCCCACCATGCCAGGGACCCTTTGTGTGCCCATCGCCTTCGTGTTGCCTGTTCCCCCGACAACAATGACTCACAAAGCCGGCCCGCGTTGGCGGCGGTGGGGGAGGTGGCCTCCTCTCGGCCCTGGAGGGTCTGGGTCACAAAGGCCACCAGGGCCTGGCCCGGAGGAGGCATGCCCCAAGACAGCCCCGCGTGGTGCTCGCCCCTGCAGCCACGACCCCAGCCCGGCAACCGGGCGTCGGGGCGCCCATGTGCGTCGTGTGCTTCGTGAAGGCGCTGGTGCACGTGTTCAAGGTCTACCTGAGCGCCAACTACGCTTACAACTTCCGCGGCTGGCCGGTGGACTTCCGCTGGGACGACGTGCGCGCCGCAGGCGCAGGGAGCAGCAGTCATCGCGCGCTCACGTGCGCGGCGGCCGCGGCGGGC